GTAACCTCAATAGCAAGAATGATTACAATTTTAATATTTCATATTGAAAATTGCAAGTCAGTGCAGCTCATATGATGAGACATTCTGATATGTATATACACATAATGACGTTTTATGGGCAGACAGACAAAAGGCTTTACTTTTCTTTTAGCAGTTTGTTTCTATTTCAGATTTAACTCTGGTTTTAAAGTTCTTTTTGAAAAGAATTTTACTTTCTTGTTGCATGTTTATGCCAAATAGTTTGTTCTGAGTACAGTAGCTATCAAGGTCTCTCCTGTTAGTGCAATCTTTTCTTACTCCTGGTGAGCTGCGGGAGTTTCATGTGTCTATTAAAATTTCTCCATTGGCTCAAAGTTGATTTGCAGTGATCAGTTGAATAGGAAACTATTATATTCTCACAATAATCCTTTCCCTTCTTGCAATATAGTTGCATTTGCATCAGTGGACTGGCATGACTTTGTTGTGGTGGAAACAGTGGAATTTAAAGACAACGAAACAGGTTGGTTTCTCACATTACATTTCTACAAGAGTAAAACCCTCTAACTATGATATCCCTACATTATCCAGCATTCAGGTTGTGAGGATATTTAAACTTATCAGATAGATTCTATTATCTTGATCTAGCAAAAATTCTTGTAACTAATTTACAGGTGATGTGTATTGGCTAGAAGGGCGAATTAACAATCAAATCTCGGGAATTAAAGAGTTAATTGTGTGATGTGGAAAACACATGGAATGAGTGATCTGCTTGACAAAATGCTTTTTTTAGGTAGTCAGTAAGAGAGACAGCCACCATTATTGGTAGTCCTAGTTTCACAGCTGTCTACGGGGAAAGCCGCTGAAAACCTGCGTGGAAAAGAACTATGAAACAAACAAAATTTTACACTTGCAGATAAAACTTACTCTTTTGAAGCATCTATTTTAATTTATTAAGATCCTTATATTGTGTTGTTTTAGCCAACTTGCCTCCACCAGTAAGCAGAGAACAGCTTGGAGCCAGGATATTAGCGCAGGAGCGATACGAACAAGTACAGGTGCGTACAGTACATGTAGCTTGTGATCAATTTAAACTTTATAGGTGCATGTAGATGCCTGTTCCATGGTCCTTTTTAAGACCAAAACTGAAATGTTCATGATTATTTTTTGTAGGATGATGGTCCTACGCCAGATGATATGGAAGTCAACATGGATGTGGAGATGGAAGTTGACGAACCAGAGCCGACGTTTTTACAAGTTCCTCCCCCTCCCCCTCCTATGAAAGATTCAACTGGGGTAAGACAAGCCTATTTTACTACATTCGTGTACCTATCGATCTACCCACATTGCACCTACACCTTCGTCGGCATCTTTTTAGAAGCATGTGTAAAGATTAAAATTTGACTCTGAAACAAGACTCTGAAAAGGAGAATGGGAGAAGAGCTCTACAATATGTGGTTGTCCGCGAACGCCTTATAAGTGTGCTTCTCTTTGTGTGTATGGATCTTTTATAAAGACTGTGACGACCATGTTATTTTCATCTTTCAGAAAAACACAGACATGAATGAGGTGCCTCTTCCACCGATCCCCTCTGAACCTGGCCCCAAACCGCCCCTACCTCCCACAGCCCCAGGATCGAACATCCAAATCCGGAGAAATTATGATCCAAAGGCTCCTAAAGCGGCTGCACCCCTGGCTCAGACGGACAAGTTCCTGATCTCACCAATCACAGGCGAGCGGGTTCCTGCAGAGAACATGGCCGAGCACATGAAGATAAGTCTGTTGGATCCGCGCTGGAGGGAGCAGAGAGATAGAGTGATGCAGGAGAAGAAGGAGCAGGAACAAGTGTTTGCTGAAGGTAAAAGCAGTGCTACTGGTCACTCTATCTGCCGTGTAAACTCACTATAGGGTTAGAACAAGAAACGAAGGCCCAGAGAAGGGGCTCCTGGTCATGGCCTGTGGACTGTATCAATTTTACAAAAGCTATTTTTAGAAAGTAATTTAGTGTTAACAACTGAGTTGAAAACGTAAATTAGCCACTGTAAAGGGTAAAAAAGCTGACGTTTCGAGCGTTAGCCCTTCGTCCGAGCGATTTAGAAAGACTATTAAGTGGATGCCTGTTTTCTGAGACGTCTACTTGAAGGAAAACTGAGGCTATCTTAGGTTAGTTTTTATGCTTAAAATCAATGCAGTGACGGAGCGGACGTCCGCGAAAGTGGAATTCGGTGAAAGTCCAAAGCTCAAAACACCTTAGGTGGAATCAATATTCGTTTGGTTACGATCTTTGACGTCTGGAAGTGTATAAAGCTTGTTCCGTCCAGGTTGCCGGCTTAGTTGTTTTTCTGTCTCCTATTTCAACTTCTTCTTCTCCTTCTTTCTTTACTGACCGAGACGAAGCCTAGGCAAAAATTATCCAATTTCCAACCGTCTTGAGCTTTCGCTGGGTCAGGAACACATTCATTCATTTGTCTGTCAGGTATGTCAATTGGAAGCAGTCTGAAGCAGCTGGCCGAGCGCCGTACAGATATCTTTGGAGCTGGTGACGAAGAGACTGTCATCGGTAAGAAGATCGGAGAAGAAGATATCCGAAAACCAGAGAAGGTCACATGGGATGGTCACACTGCTTCCATGGCGGCCACTTCACGCTTGGCTCAACAAGGCGTGACAATTGAACAACAGATCGAGGCCATACACAAATCGAAGGGACTCACGTGAGTATTAACTTAACACTGAGCTCCATTTTGTGCAAGATACTCGTCAGCGGACATAAGTTGTTTCGAGCTTTGAAAAAAGATAGTATGAAAGGAAAAATAAACAAACATTTATTTAATTTACCTTGGTGGAAGCTATATTTCAACTAGCCCTCAAATTTTTTCAGCTCTTGGAACAAAACGTTAAGTTTCAACGTACCTTTGAAAATGCATGTAGTAGAAGTTGAGCGCCAAGGCAAGGCGTAAATGTTTGTCGTTTAAATCCATCAAATATTTTTGCCTGCGCGCGATTGGTCTAAACGCTTCACGCGAACTAATATTCCCCCGCTAAAAACTGGGGAATATCCGAGGATATACGCCAAGTGATATATTACCAATTTACAAACCTTACGTGTGCTGCTATCGCTCTCGGAAAACTGTTCTCATCTCGTAAATTATAATGTCCGCGGACAAATACCCAGGCACATTTTCGCGCCAAATGGAAGCTATTGTTTATTTAGCCGGTTAAGAGGACTGTTTGAAAAAAAAACTGTAAGAAACATTTTCAAGTTTGGGTGACAGGTTTAACTGTACGGTCCGACCCCTAGCGAGGGCATTTGTGTTCAGCTATGGTCACATCAATCCTTCCTGATGTTGTGTTTTTCGAAGCGACTATGACAATACATGCAAATATTTATACTGTGACTATTCTGTTCTTATGTTGTTCTTCAGGCCCTCAGAAGAACGAGAAAGAATTGGACCCAAAGTTCCAGAGCAAGATAAACCTCCCGAGGCGCAGTTACCACCGACCACAACTATCCCGCCCCCTCCCTCCTTGAGTACCATGACCCCATCACGAGCGCCACGAGCGCCACCACCGCCCCCTATGTCCGCGATGATGAATCTGCCACCACCTCCCCCCATGCTCCCCCCTGGTGCACCCCCACAGTTCATGGGTAAGCATCATTGTTTACTGAAGTAAATGTCTTAAGAGCAAGGCATTTAAATAATGCCAAGTGGTCTGTCCACGGGCGATTTTCCAGAAACGCTATATTTAAGAATGACAATCTATGTTTTTCTGGTTTGTTGTTTATGACGTGTGAAAATGCTTTGTATCTACTACTCATATCTCTGTGCTTTTTCATTTTTTTTCATTGAGCTTTCGTTGATCGTTTAGGTGACAGAAAGCCATCGATTTTATTGTGTATTTATGGAAAACACCAGTCAGAAATTTATGACTTTATCTGTGATACCCTGTGATAGTTTAAACCACCTACTATCGAGCAAGGCGGGTCAACATGACTCTTTTGATTTTACGGGATGCTTGTGCAAGAGCGCCAATGAAAGCCCGGTTGCTTTTCCTTTCCTTTCCTTTCCCATTCCTTTGTGAGACTGCTACTGATTTAAAGGGACCAACTCTAGGTTTCTACCGTGAACGTTGTACATTTTTTTCCAGAATATATTTCCCTTGGATGCATACCGACCGTCTAAGTATTTATTATTTTTATTTCTGTATCCGTAGGTATACCACCTCCGCCACCCCCGGGAGGTCTCCCGCGCATGCCGCCTCCACCGTTTGTTAACCCCAATCCTCCTGTTGCACCTCCCCCGCCAAGTAAGCGAGATATGGACGGAGATGACGCGGCTGGTAAGAAGTCCAGGACTGAGCCGGCTGAAGCAAATCTTGTTCCCGAGGATCAGTTCCTCTCCTCCAACCCTAACCCGGTCACCTTTGGTGTCCAAATCCCTAACATGCCAGACAAGTCAGAGTGGAAATTGGATGGCAGCACAGTTCGTCTTACTTTGCCGCTGACGGATCAGGTGAGTTAAGTATGGGTCTGGTACCGAGAGAAGTGTATTTTCGCGCGAGAAAGCTCTTAGGGAAACCACAATAATGTTCCGATACCTGAGCGCTTATTGAAAGGATTGCTCTGGAAAGCAAATTCAATAAAATCATACAACGGCAGCCCTGCCGTCTTAGTACCGGCAACGGTGTTGTTGTTCTGGGCAATTTGCATGTCGTAAAACAAAAACTATGTTTATTATCACGGCTAGTTAGAACAAACAAAAATATCTCAGGGAGCCAGTGAGAATTCAAAATGAACACAAATGCTCTGGTTGTGTTTTTCTTCGTTCAGTGATTGGCTAGGAAAACTCGTGCCACTCTTCTTAACCAATCAGATGCACAAACTAGCCATGTCTTGGTGACGGGCAGTTTGCTTATATTTACTGTGAGTTTCCATTGGCTCCTTATCACAGTGCTCCTTTTATTGTCTGAGGCTGTAATGATTACTTTGTTGCTGGGCTTACGACACTCAAGGGCCATGGCGAATTATAGCAAAATTAGTCCAATCTCTTATCACTTTGTACACTCAATTTAAGGTTGCGAAAGCTTTCAAACGGTTATCTTTCATAGAACAGTTTGAGGCTTAGACATAAGTGGCTGAAGCTGTTGTGTTTTGAGGAAACCTTGTTTTCTGAATGCTTTAACTCTTACCCGTAATTATCACATTACTTTCTCTTGACTATTTCTTAATACTGTTCTGTTTCTGCTCATTTCTCGCTAGATTTCTGTCATCAAGGCTAAACTGCACGAGATAACTGGTATGCCAGCTGGAAAACAGAAACTACAGCTTGGGGTAAGAGTTATTTAATCTCTCTCTTTAGCTGGATAGGACAGTTGTTAGTTGAATGACCTGCCTTTACAGGAGTTTTCTTGACAGCGTAGATGGAAAAATATGTCAAGTTTCTATTAAGTAAGTTGCCACGTCTAATACCAGTGCTTTGACGAGGAGACCTTTCAAGGATAAAAAAAAGGTAACAAGGAAATTTGCTAGAGTAGATGACTTCATGAGGAAGCTTACCAAGGACGTAGTGGAAGGTTTTAGAAAAATTCTGCTCTAGCAGGTTTTCCTTGAGTGTTTTTGAGTAGATTACCTCGCTGATTTGCGTGGTGCACCCGTCATAGTGTTTGAGTAGATTCAAGCCAGCGTAAAAGAAATTCCATATCGTTTTTCGTCCAAACTTTTGGCCTCTAACAAAAATGTTAATGAATAAGTTATCTGACAGATGTAACTTGAAAGTCACGAACTCGTGTGCGACCTCCCAAATATTTTATGTTGGCGACAGATTAACCGGTTTATCTGCTATAATTTATCCGGTGATAAAGCTTATTAACTGCGTGGACAATCCGCTTACGACTAGACATGCACTAATTAGCGTGCGGACAAGTGCAAACATCGACTCAAGGCAAACGAGCAAATACGTACGTGACAGTTCACGACCGAGGCTGAAAGGTAGTTGGTGTAAGATGGCGATTTCACTTCCCTTAAGTTATTTTTCTCGTTCAATTTCTCATGCAACTTCTTATTCTGAGATTCGTGTCAGAAACAAGTCGCCAAAGAGTTAAGTTGTTTATTTTGGCTCAGAATCCGGCCGGAAAGGTCCATTGTTTTCATTCGTTTTCTTTTCTTTCTTTTTTAGAGGTCAAGTGCTTATGGAGGCTTTATTTATTTTTTTTGTCTTTTTCTTTGTACATTCGTTTCTGTGAAGCACGAGGGAAATCTAAACACGATTTTTATACGTTGCATATTTCTGAGAGGTCCTATCTGCTTTATAATTTAGCCGTTTTGTCGGGAAAAGTGTGGTAATTAATTAGTTTATCATTTAAGCGATTTTCCTAGTATTAAAATTTCCGCGTGAAATAGAAGAGCAAAAATTAAAGCTGATAAGATGGTTTAAGGGAGCGAGGTTTTGGCCAACCTTTCAATACTTTCCGTAGGTGAGAATTCATCTCATATTTTCTTTAAATCATTTCATCTGCCTTTTTGTCTCGTTCAGGGAATTTTCATCAAAGATTCCAACTCGTTGGCATATTACAATGTCACTCCAGCCAGTGTAGTGCAGCTACAACTCAAGGAACGCGGTGGACGAAAGAAATAAAAGACTTTGCAGTCCCAGAAGCCGAAAAGTTGCCAATTTCGTTCAGTTGTTTTTGTTTTACTGTAAATGCTTTCTCAAGACAAGTCCCCCCCCTTTCCGTATATCGACCCCTCTCATGAGCGCCCTATGTAGAACTACAATTATCTCATAAGCTTCCTTCTAATCTACTCTCCTCCCCTCTTTCTGTTCCCTAGAGAGAAACTCTTTTTAGTATAGTTATATTGTTTCTCATTTAGGTCAATTAGCCTTTCAGTTAAAAAATATTCTGTTGTTTAAAAAGCCTGTATCAGTTTATGTAGGTTTTCGAGGAAATAAATATGTTCCTTTTGGTAAATAAATAAAATTTCTCGGACTGTGACACGTGTTGAATTGTTTCAGTAGGGGCTTTGCATGACCTTTACGGCAAGCCACAACAGTTTAACTTGTCACCTTCTCTTTCCTGTCGTTTTTAGCTCATTCTTCTTTACCCTGTATCTGGCGTCAAAACTTAAATCTTGCCACTTTCAGCTTCAATTCGTTCCTTGTTAGAAGCGACTCCCACGTTATACACTTAAGAGAGAGGGCAGAATCACTAAGCGCTGATTGGCTGAGACAGAGGGCATTTCTCATTAATTTTCACGGTGAGCGACTCGAGCAAGTTCAATCCATTCCGAAACACAAGTGATTGTAATTTTACGCAGCCGTAGGTGATCACCTATGCTTTTTTAAATCACAAAAGTTTACTTTAATAGCAAAACGCACACTTATGCGTAATTTTCTTTATCCGAGAGAGCCAAATTGCACTCTATGGCCGGCTAAGATATTTTCCTTACTGGCCAAATTACTTCGTGAGGCCCAAAGTTGGGGTCAAATTTGTGGATAGGTAGTGTAGTAAAGTCGTCCAACTCTTTTAAGTCTAATTGCATCACAGGGTCGTAGTTGATGTACCTGTAGACGCAAACTGTTTTCAAAAGCCATGCAATCCTTTGAAAAATTGTTTATTATTGCAAAACTGCGAAATCGTCAAATGACTGAAAGATTTAAATTTCTGATAAAACTATGATGCTGCGTCGGTGGGTGGTATCGCAATGTAATTTAAGTTGATAAAAGCAAAATATCATGGAATCGTCAAGGTGGGTGTTCGTTGGGATGAGTACTTGAAATGATAGCATCCTACCAAAGACGCCCTCTCCAAATGAGCAGAAACCTCGGTTGAATACGCAATGTGCACCCATTTGTAAGTGCATATAGACTTTGTAATCACTTTGAACCGCCCGCGTGCGAACGTAATCGGGCGTAATCAATTAATTTGGGTTCATTGTTGTTTTCAATAGGGTTCATATTTAGTAGTTTCACTCTAGAAGGAATTATTCATTGCTCAGTTTATTTCAGATGTAACTTGATCGGAGCCTTTGTTTGTCGACGAAGGTTGTTACAAAAAGTTGAGTCTATTGATCACTGATTTTAGATTGATGGTTGAGCACTTGAAGAGACTAGTGCACGCTCCCAAGTCTATCAAAAGAAGATATTTAGTACATATAGACTTCCGCTTCTCCCGTGGGCAATAGTTTCCTCACTTCCGTTAGCGTAAATCGAAAGAAAGACACTTTAATTTTGAAGAATACTCCCGCGTTTCTTCTTTATTTTTATAGATATTTTGTTAGTGACGTTGATGTAATGTTGAAATCAGAGCTTAAGTCTTACTGCCTTCATTTACACAACATGGTCCTCAAACAAAGCGTTACGAATAGTAAACAAGCGCAGCGTGCGTGACATCACGATATGTCTATTTGCACCTCATTGTTTTGAATCTCCACGAGGGAGGAGGGGATGGTAATCATAAATTTTTTTCTTTCCCTTTAAATTTATTTAGGACAAGTCGAGCTCTTTCGACCGTTCTGGGATTTATTGGCACTAACATGTATCGTTTGCTATAGGTATTTCCCTTTCGTGTTCCGCTGAGGTACTTTTTGTTTCGAAAATTTGTTGTTGCAAGTTGGGAGCCCCTCCCGTCCACAGTCATGTTCAACTTTTCACACGTCTTCTAGAACTTGATTGACGATTCTTTGTTCTCGCGCGCCAGAATTGCTCACGCATTGTCACTTTCAACGTATCTTTGATTGATTTCGTTGTCGTTAAAGGATTTGCGATGTGGGTTGTTAAAGTTCTAAACACGGGTAAGCCTTCGACAATGTTGAAATATTATGTTTTTTCTCCATCGAAGAGCACATTCAGTGACACTGTTTCACCACCTGCTAGCGAAACTTTCGGGGTCCTTTCACCGATTCTGCGGGGACTTCGCAAACGCCGCTACACGTGGGGATCGATCGTTCAGTCGACTGAAATGCCATTTTCTTTGTTGTTTTTCTCACAGATGTGCACTGTTTGCCGGTATTAGTAGCGGTAGTGGTGTGCGTTTTCGCTCTTCTCCTCATGGTCCGAGGTAAACCTCGAAGAGGAAAAGTAAGTCATAGGCCATTTATCAAAACCAGAGGTCGTCGTCCTTCGCCAAGGATAACTCTCCTTTTCGGCAACAGGGTTAGTTCGAATATTTTTATTTTGAAAATTGTTGGTTTCCCTGACGCATTTTCTCTTTCATCGAATTAATGAACCGTTGAAAGCACTGAACGCATTTTGATTTCAAGTGGTATTGTTTAATTCATACGGCGAAATTAACAACTATCGAAAAATTTAGAAAATTCTCAATGAAATGTGGTGTTCATTAATTTGTTTGATAGATTGATCTTACGGAAGACAGGAGTTGCTCGAAAACTTTACAAAACCTTATTGTTTATGAAATGTGTAAGCAAACAATCCCTGTTCCCTTAAGTTTATTTGTTTTCAAATCTAATATTCATGATATACTAGCTTGCTTTTTCTGTATATGCGAATAAGGTCATCAAGATCCTATCTCCTTCCAAGAAAATAGACGGCTTGATCGCCGTCAAATAATTACGTATGTTTTTATTTGTGATTAGTTAGTCAAAGACAGTCAAAGAAAGTTCGAATTTCCGTTTTGCGGTTTTAAAATTTGCATTTCTTGTCGACTCGTAAATACTGTGGAAGACATGTCGACGCGATCAGGCGATTTCACTAAGTCACCACATGATTCGGTTTTACTTTGAAATTACGTAAAAAATCGAAACGTCACTTTGAATTTTCTCGAAAAGATCTCTTCAATTTAAAGCTAAACAATGAAACTTTTTATTGTTTTTCATTTTTGGCACCAACAATACATTCGCCTTCCACCTGCTGATATTATACTAAACATCACGCAGGAAAAGAAAATTATCAATAAAAATTTAGTGAAGTGTATGTTCTCGCCGCTTTCATTGTCATACAATCTCTACAGGCCGCACAGAAATCTTTTTGAGGCGATCTTTGACTTTCTCACAATGTGCCTTACAATAATTTGTGAACTCTGTTGATAGGTGCAAATGTGTTTATATTTTTAAAAAGATAATCGAATTCAGACAATATTGTAATTGGACTTTTTGTGGGAGTTCCAATTGTGGGAAATAATTACCTGTTTACACAGTGAAGTCAAATTGTATCTACGAAAAAATTATAACAAGAATTTTTCAGTCAGGGTTGATTTTATATGATGTCAAGCAGCCATCTTATGATTGCCTTGCCAATCGATATCCAAATTTTGCTCAAAGTTTATATTTCACTCAGTCTGCATTAATTCTCAAGAGATTGTCCTATATTTTAAGTCCAGGTAAGATTACACTCACTAAATGTGATAATAAATATTCTTTTATCATGTTTTGACCCAAAGCACCGAAAATTATAACCCAGAAGATAAATAGACAATGTCATAAGGTATGATAAAATATGCAATCAATATCATCAGTGTAAATGCATGGGTGGACTTACAAGCTGAATTATGCATAAAATGTGCACAAAATTGGATAACATTTACTGGAAAACACAGTACATGCTACTTAAGGTTGTGGTCTGTTCTTAGTTATAACCTTTACTGATGAACATCTCATAAACTGATCCTGAAATAATAAAAGCCAACATGAAGCTTGAAATTTATTCTCTAAGGAATGAATTAATCAGCTGTAATTTGAATTTTTGTCATACAAATTGATGTGTTTAGAACTTTCAAGAATTATCATGTTATTGTGTTAAGGGCATCTTTAAAATTTGAACTCATAAAATGGGCTAAATGGTTGAAAAATGAAAAATTCTGATTTCAAGAGTTTTCTGCCTTTGTTAAACCCAACTTTATAAGCTTTCTAGTGGTTGCTTTTGCATCCCACAAAGGGAAATCAATTTGGCATAAATAGGTACATGTAATGTCCGTTGATGCTAATCTTTCCAAATCTCATCAAAGCTTAATCAAGTTTTGGGGACATACATTACCCTTCCTCTTGTCCCAACTTCTGCCCTCAGCAGTTAGCAAAAGTCCATCAAAATGCAAGCTCTCTTTTGACCCTCTTTATTTTGAACTTTAATTTAGTACAGGTAGCTGTCAAATGTATTAATTTAATCACTTGAAAATATTAGCTGAGCTGATTACCTCAGTCTGTAGCCTTTTTATTTTTAATTCTCTACAGTCAATTCCCACTATGTGGTCACTGCTTCCTGTGGGGCAGAAATTGTGGTTTGCTATTTTTCATTTTGAGAGCCATGCCATGGTCTTAACAAGAATAACAGAAACAATGCCTTTGTTGTTACTCATTGTTTTTCATTTTTATCTTGAGCTTAAGAAAATAAGTAATTATGTAAACCTACTCAGAGCTTTATTAAGTACTTATCATGTCACGAAACAGCTGAACAAAAGCTAAGATGCCAATGCTTGTTCATCTTAGAATAATCAGAGGCAATTTCCAGCTGTTTTATATAGTCAATAGGATGAAATGTAAACAATACAAATTTTAATGAGTCAGAGTCAATGTTAAGTTAAAAAATTTCTTAAAAATTAACAATAACTAAATTCTGTTTGGCGACGAAGCTTAAGAAAAGAAACAGTTCTTCATTTTGCATCTGATACTTGAAAAAAAAAACAAGAAAGAATTTCAGCCCTAAGATAGCTTGTGTTCAGACTTAGATATTTATAATAAAACTAGTGATGACTTAAAAGTACAATTTAAGTTTGAATTGCTCTTGCTTGGACAATAGTGCAATTTTGAATTGAGTATCAAGAGTAATACAGGATCATGTTGCTTTTGTTTTATTTCACCATGTGATTATTGCTTTTGTTTAACTCTTTGATTCCCAAGATCTGTTTGTTAGCTCTCCCCTCTAGCTGTTACAAATTTCCTTGTGAACATGTTACAAGAATTTGGTGTTAGATCAAGAAAACAATCTCTAACTGAAAAGTTTGAGTATTCCCATTACCTGTTTGCTGGATAACAGATGCATATCATTGGGAGAAGTTACCTTTTAATCACTTCTGGGAGTTAATAGGCTAAGAAAACTGGTGCCACACTCTCAACCAATCAGATGGAAAACATAAAATATCTTTATCTTGGCCACTTGCCTCTTCACACCCTTTTGGCAGTTTGCTTTTAAGTTACTTTGGGTTCTCACATGTTCCTTGTAATATTTCCCTTTGTTAAATTGACTCAGGCTGATATGATCTTGGTTTTGCAACACTCAATTTAGAAGCCCTTTTGCAGTCCTCTGCAGAAGTACTGCAAATTACAAATACATGGATGTGATACAGTTGAAGTTGACTGAGTTTGTAGCATTGCCAATGACTTGTTTATCCAGTTTTGTCTGGATTTAACCTTTCCAAAAATTGAATAAGAAAGAATAACGTTATGCTTTTTGAGTTTTCTGTATACCCCTCCCTTCCAGAATTGCCATTAAGGAATTTCTCGCAACAATATTGATCTATTGCCAAGTAGAAAGGTGATGAGGAGATTAATTAGTATATATTACTTTATTTAACCCTTTCACTCCCAAGATCTAAGTGTCAATTTCTTTGCAGTGTCCTAGTTCTGAGAATTTGATGTTAATTCAAGCAATATGTTCAGTTGTTACTTAACTTTCTTCTCATCACCTTCATGCTTTTGAATGTACTAGTAATTTGTAAGGAACAGTTCCTCTCTAATTACCCCTGGGAGTGTTAACTCAGAGTGTTAACTCAAAATCCCCTAACAGCAATTTTGGGAGTGGGATGATTTAGTTAAAAAAAAATAATTTGGCTTAAAGTAGATTGTGTTTAGTGTTAATTCTCTGCCTCATAACCAGTAGATGAGTGAAGAATTGCCTGACTGTTCAAACCTTGCTAAGTAAGCTAACAATGTTTGGTGCCTGCCCGCTCTGAAAAAAGAACCCTGCACTAACATTAAGACAAAAAATCAACACACCTCCAAGAACTTGCTCTTGCAGTTGCAAATTAGTTCATTAGAACATTAGAATTTGGTACAAAATTCCATGCATGGCAAAATGAAGAAAAAAAAATTTTACAGAAGATAGAATTTGATTCTTCGTATGTTATCAATTATGCCTCATATTCGATTGTTTTTGTGACCAGGAATTTCCAAATGGCCTGACATTCACTCCCAAAAATTCTTCAAGTCAACCACCGCTGTCAATTAGATCTTCTCCTTTCAAAACAAGACATGTTAGAAATATCCCAGAAAAGTGTTGTGGAAACCGCACATGGCCAGATGTCTTGACCTCTGCCAATCACAGCCTGAAGCAAAAAGTTCCTCAGCCGAAAAAGAAAAAATCCATGAAGGAGAAAAATATAAAACCAAGAGTGTTGTTTGCATCTCAATCTGTCCATGAAAAGCAGGTTGCTTCTGAGGAAGATAAAGCTGAACTCATTCTACAGGACAGGCTGAAACGCAGGGATAATGGACATATTGAACAAGCTAAGACTAGCGGTTTGTGTGAACCAGACCCATCTTTGTCTTCAAATGTCAAGGAAAGTTGTGGGCATGCAGACAGTCTGGGTAAATCAATTTCTCCATTGAATACTAAAATTCCACCAGATGATGGACAAGTTTCTCACAACAGCTCAGCAAGCACAGTAAATAATGAACATTTGCCTAAGGTTGAGGCAAAAATTGATACAACTAGGCTGTCTGCAGATGTACCTAAAACAGGAAAGCCCTATGAAGTTAAATGGGATGAACAAATTAAACAAGCTAAGACTGGAGTTTTGTGTGAGCCAGACCCATCTTTATCATTAAATGGCAAGGGAAGGTGCAGGCATGTACATAGTCAGGGTAAATCAATTTCTCCATCAAATACAAAGGTTTTATTGGGAGATGGACAAGTTTCTCAAAACAGATCAACAAGCACAAGAAATAGTGAACTTTCACTTAAGGTCGAGGCAAAAATTGATACAACTATGCTGTCTGCAGATGTAACTAAAACAGGAAAGTCCTATGAAGTTAAATGGGATGAACAAATCAAACAAGCTAAGACTGGTGTTTTGTGTGAGCCACACCCATCTTTATCATTAAATAGCAAGGAAAGGTGCAGGCATGTACATAGTCAGGGTAAATCAATTTCTCCATCAAATACAAAGGTTTTACTGGGAGATGGACAAGTTTCTCAAAACAGATCAGCAAGCACAAGAAATAGTGAACTTTCACCTGAGCTTAATTCAAAAGTTGGTACAATTTGCTTGCCTGTAGATGTAACTAAAAGAGAAAAGCCCTATCAAGTTAAATGGGATGCAAAAATTTCTAGAACTCCTTGTGAACGATTTTCATATTTTTTAACTCTGAGAGATGTAGAGTCTATTTCACATGTATCTTCAGAACATGGCTCATCATTTGTAACTTTTCTGCCCATTGGAGGTCACACCTGCAGGCAAGGTCAAAGTCAGGAAAATTTGTCATCAACAACAACAACAACAACGAATACAAGTTTATGCCAAACTCTGCAGACTAATGATTGTCATACAGATAAGGTAGAGCACAAAGCTCCTGAATCTTCCCAAAACACTTCTGCACCTGATAACCGGGAAGTTGATGAAATTGAATTGATGGATCTGTCTTGGGACAATTCTGATTGTTTTAGTGGAAACAGTGCAGGGTCCAGAGAATCTAGCCCACTGGAACTTATTAAGGAAGTGAGTTGTTCATCTGACAACAGCATTGGTAAGAGTGAACGTAAAATGCGATCATCCAGGAAAAAGGCTGTAAAATCTCACAAGAGAGAGGTGGTTAACTTTCACTGTAACAATTGTGATGTCAGTAATGATGCTGCACATTTGTCCAAGACACAATCATCCACAGAGAAGAATGGAAAATTTCCCATCCAGAAGCCAGTGACCTGTAACCATAAGAACTCTGATGCCAATGATGTTGTTGCTCAGGCATCAAAGTCTGAAGTGCATTGTATACTGTGTGGTATCAGATTGTCTAAACCACAATGTTTTTATAGTTTGGGTTCCCTGTGCACTGATGATGACATTTGTGAAACTACCTCAGATGATATTAATCGACATCTTGTAAGTGATGTTGACACAAACCCTCCAGCAGGGGAAGGTAAAGGTCACCCTGACACAGGATACACCAGCAGTGAAGAACTTGAAAATGAAAGCGTCTTGCCAAAAGAGGTGGAGGCAATTCTTACTCACAAAAGACGAAGGACAGATGGTTATGATGGTGATCATGAGAGTGACAGCAGTTTTGAATCTTTTGTCTTTACATTGTCTTCAAGTGAAGATGAGCGAGAAGCAGTTTCAGTCAAGGAATATGTGAAACAGGAAACAAATAAGAGACAGGAGATGGCAATATCACAGACTATAGAAAAGGTATGCATGCCATGTTTAAAGTTTTGAGTACACCTGTAACTGCACATCTTGTGGCCACAAGAATTTTTCCATTCAGACAAGGTTTTTTATATTTCTGTCCAAACTTGAACCTTTTACACCCTAAAATCAGTATGCATATTATCCACACTGTTCTTTATGTCATTTCCTAATGTGCTGACAAGGAGAATTTGTTTTGTAATCCAAAGGTTCCTTCCCTGATGATCATTTCTGTTATTGTCATAACCTTAATGAGTGATTCAGTAGTGATATTATAGGGAGAAATTAGATGCTGGTCACTCTAAGGGTTTAAAGGGTTAATGTAGGAGGAGGTTCAAAGGAAGTGTTGGAAAATGAAAATATTATCGAGTACAGTAATTGTACAGCACAACTGCTTTTGAATCTACTCTCTTGTCTGTACAGATGGACTCAAAGTGAAACTATGATAAACTGTCTATAACCCACTTGTAGCTTTTTGTCATAAAATTAAAAAACATTCCTTAAACATCCATGCAGTTATCCTGGTTTGAACCAAGCAGCCAGTCTAAGTATGAAGGTCAATGACTCCTTTGATTATTCTGTTCAAAAGGTTTTGACATGTGCAAAGGTCATTTCCTTCTGTGCATGGTATTCAATTTTTTTTACTTTCTAGCACATGACTTCAAAGTTTGTGAACCAAATCTTCCATTTTACTGGAAATTTTTCCAAAGACTAAAAAAATAAACTGTGTTATTGCATGGAATGTTCCCTATGATTATAGTTAGGTTGGAATTAGGCTAACATTATAAGACATTTTTGTATTCTATGCAACATTCGTAGAAAAGCTTCTTCCCACCATGACTATTTTTCAATTTTGGTGTTATCAATAAAATTATGATGCTAGCTGACTCTCCATCATTCTGGTCAATCATGAGCTGAAGACTTCCTCCTGGCAACTGAATGAACATTCATATGAAGTATACTGTGAAATACATGAAAAGAATCCCTCTTTTTGCTCTAAATTTTAAAACACACAAAACTTATAAAGAACTCCTGTTATCTCTAAAAATTTTACTTAATCTAACCTTGTCTCTGTCAGTATAAGAGAAGGTCAGTTGAGAGAATTTGAAGTTAATATCCAAATGAAACTTTTTTTGCTAATAAGTTTATCAATTCTCATCACCTGTTTGAAATTGTAAAGAGAAACTACCTGTTAATCAGTGGTGCCTACATAATTTTAACTCTGCTGATGAGAAAGGAATGTTCTTACATTATGGTTTTTAATTCTTGTTTTTTTCCTTTTTTTTCCCTTGAGGTCCAGAAATTAATTGCAAAAGCTCCAGCTGAAAAAGAGTGAATTAATCACTAAGACAACAGGGTGAACTGGAGCAGGTAAACAATATCTCCCCTCTTTGTCTGGTATCTGGTGGCAGTTTAAGTAGCAAGGGTGGCCTTCAGATGACATGTGACATGGTTACTCTTGGATTACACATGTACATTTGTGGTTGCAAAAGAGCTACAGCTGTTTTAAGCTACTCTGTTATGGTATAGATTTGAGAATTGTAAATCAATACAAAATTCTTAAATAAGTCCTTACTTGTCAAAAAATTTAGTGGATTGAATTATGGAGTTTACAATGGTGGCAGAAAGTGAGACTAACTCTATTGCTTTCTATACCCATTGTTCTATCTCCTACTGAGAGAAAAAGCAAATATTTCTAAGAGAGGTAGCTTGGGAACTGATAAATATTTTGGTGTTTGCTATGAATGACACAATTCATTTCTTAATTAGCAATTGATTTGGAATAAAATACTGTAGATTGGTGTCACACCCAAAGGTTGAGATTCTGGTTTCAGCTCTTACATTGTGTCATTGTTTTAATAATTCTTGATTATTAGTGTAATTATTTCTTTTATATATTAATTTTTTTATACTTGGTAATCAATCTCTGTCAGTCTTTCTTGGTTGGCTTTTCTCTATAGCATTTGACTTCATGGATGGTTAACTTACTATCATTATTTATTCAAAGTAAGTCAATTTTAGTGTAACTTACATGAGAATTGTAAAAGAGAATTTGTCAGGTCTCAAGTTTTCCTTTTCATAAAGCAGAGGTTTTATGCTTCTCGGAAAATTACTCATGAAGAACTTTCTAATGGCATTTATGTGTTTAGGCATTATAATTGGATATCCTGATCAACCAAATCCCTCTCTTTCTTTTGTTTGGTGAAATGTGCCTGCATTGATATACCACTATTCAAGTTGTTCACCTTTCTCATTTGTGAAAAGAAGGCTGTGGCATGAGTTACCTTTCGATAGCTGGGGTACCTAAGGACACTCCTGATGTTAAATTAGCTGCTAAAGGTCACAGACACCATAATATTGTAATGTGGGAGAAACAAATGTCAACTACCATGTCTCTTGATTTGTCATGAATTGGATCTTTCATTCAAGGGACATCTGCAGAACTACAAATTGCCATACTGGTTGTCTTCATTGCCTTCCTCACTTCTTACGCTCTTCACTTCTGTCCACTGTGGTGTCAATTTGCAGTGAGGGTGACTGTCTGTTTTATAGGTAAAGAAGACTAGCTAATTCATGATTTCACTGAAATGTTCATCCAATGTTCTGTTTTTCAGGATCAATGTCAGTATCTGAGCCACTTCACTGATAACAAGTTAGGGTTAATGTTGGGGAAAGGGAAGGGTAGGTGCACAGTTGCTCAGTTACTCACATTGAGGTGAATATTGATCCGTTTTTTGCATATGCAGGTAGAAATTGTTTAGTTTTGTCTTTAACTGAGATTGAAAAATTCCATGATGACCTCGCAAGCTCTCTGACTTCTTGTATTTATTGGTGTCATTCATGCTGGTATGAGTCTAAGCTTTTTCCATATTGTGTTTTTATCCATCTTCTCTTATCCTCTCTGCACCCTTAAATGAAGGCCATGTCTTTTCCATCGAGTAGATGTGTCAACTGAATACTTGCCTCCTGATATATTTTTATTTTCTATCTCTTTTTAGCAATAAATCTCCTGGTGTCATCTGATATCTAATGTTCTCTGCGTGTACCTCTTCTACGACCTATCACTGTTTCAGTGCAATCCCTGACTGTCGTTTTAATGTTGCTTTCACACTTTTACACCCACATTATTCCGTGAAGCTTCAAAGCTCTTGGAACGCTCTACTCAGAATTTTCGGATCAATATCAGTATCTGGGCAACGGCCCACCTACCCCTCGGTTAGGGAAGGGTTAGGTGGGCAGTTGCCCAGATACTGATATTGATCCGAATTTTCCTGGTTGGTCTGTGTCCGTCTGTAACATTCCACGTATTCTTGTGAATGCCCATGTCTTGCCAGCAATAAGTTGTGTGGTGCCTCCAGCACCATGAGGACCGATTCTGCTATTTGAACCTTGCTGATTTTCATCAACTTGTGCTTTGAAATCAACCGTAATCACATTCACATCATGAGTAGGGGTTTCCATTCAATATTACCTATAGCTGAAGTAGAATTTATCTTTCTCATCTGTGTCGGTTACCTCAGTTGATGCGTAAGCTTGAACTACACTTACTTTGGCAAGTGATTACCAGAATCTTGCAGTTGCTAAGCGATTGTTGGTTGATTTTCAGTCCATCGGCTCTTGTGTAGCGACTTTAATGAAGAACAGGCCTCCCACCCTTCACATGATATTTGCTGTCTTCGAAGCTAAGTGCTGTAAGGTTGACCTGGTCCCTCCATATTATTTCCCCAATGCCTAGCACATTCAGATCACATGCCTTCATCTCTTTTATGCCTTGAGCTGACTTTCCGCATTGGTAGAACTCCAAATTCGTGGCTACTTTTGTCACACTTTTAGTACTAAAGATTGAGTGTGTCAGGTATCTGAGTTCATATTGGAACTCATCTGCCACGATCATAGATGCAACATACTGAACCCCGTCACTTCAGCGCTGGTTCCATAGTCGCTGGGTGCCACGCTTTTTCTTCTCGCTATTTCCCTAACGATGTTGTTTTACATGGTGAGGTCGCTACCCTTACGTCCGATCCTCTTCTTTTCTCAGTTGGGCTTAAGATCAGAAATGGCATTGTGACTTTAGTGATGGCTTCAGGTGTATAAATGTAGAAAACCTTCGCTAATTAATTCAATATATTTTTTTTAGTAATGAGATCTTTTTGTTTTCTGAGACGCTGTGTTTTCTATATTTGATTCAAAACACAAAGGTTATTTAAAGGGGAAGTTTAACATAGCTGTGTTGATGTTTGGCTAGCTTTTTAATTACTCGTCACCAAAGTTGTCCCGCTGACTAGTAGGAGGTAATAAAAATATTTATCATAACTATTATTTTAGCTTAATTATTTCAATTGTGGTCGTAAAAGTGGTCCATCCTTAAAAGGGGACCACATTGTTTAGAGAATTCTGAATTGAGATATCACCTATTAAACTTACCAAATTTTTTTATGTAAATTTTCATATACTATTGTGACTTATTTTGTTAAACAAATAATTGCCTGTTTAAGATGCTTTTAGAATGTTCCGTAAGAGTTTGTTGACAAAAGACAACGTAAATTAACCATACATGAATTATTGTAAGCCTAGGAACTGCATAGGTGAATTGTAAAGAAATAACTTATAGAAGTGTATATTTAAGATTAAAAGTAAGATTATTAACGTTAAATTTCAAGCTACAGATTCAAAGCTAAGTCCTTTGAAGAAAAACAACAAATATATCTACATATATATATATATATTGAGAATTCGCTATGCTGAAGCCTCACCCTCAAGGAGAGTGAGAAGTAAAAGGTTTTATAGAACTATTTTAAGGTCTGAGATATTTCATAAGCAATAAGGTCTGTCCTAAGGCGTGCACGAGGTTTCATTTAACTTTCACACATTTAGTAACTTGATCTACTGTTAAACAGGAATGGTTTTTTATTTAATGCGTTTATTTATGTTGAGCGTAGCTTTTTAGGCTTATTTAAGATTTCACACACGTTCATATTTGGTATTCAAATTTTTAGGGGTTTTTACTGTGAGTTGCGGGGTTTTGGAGTATTTTTTATGAAACAGATCCTCAGAAACGTAACGAGTTACCCTTTTTTTTCTAAATTTCGAGGGCTTCTTACATCTTGCGTGACCTTATACTATTTATAAGAACGTAACGAGTTACCTTTTTTTCCTAAATTTCGAGGGTTTCTTACATCTTGCGCGACCTTATACTATTTATAAGAATATTAAGAAATGACGCCAAAATAAAGGATGAATATTTATTAATGTGTGCACATATACTTTGAACTGTATTTGTAGTGGCGCGCGCAGCGTATGACCATTTGTAAAAAAATTGGTAGAAACCTATCAAGTCGAGGAAATTTGGTCCGGTACGACAGTCCGTCCACGCAAGGCGTTACTGTCCGCATGCGCAGCCAACGGCATTACTCTTGTTTAGCGGACGTTTCAGTACGACGCAGTACACTATTTAAAGTATTCTCCCTTGTAGCCTCGTGTCCGAGAGTGCACAAGGAGAGCGCATTCTTGGAGCATTGATCATCATACCAGCCTCTGCGAGGGAAGTTTCCGAAATGAACAGAAATCTCAATTGGATATGGACCGTATGCCTGCTTTTAATTGTGTGTGATCTTACACATGATAAAGTATCCGCAATCCTTATTTCCTAAGGACAAGGGACTGGTCTTTATTTATCGCCTGGGAGGGGAGGGGGGGATGATTGGAGGATTTTCACAATAAATTTACCCGATTTTCCAGCCCCGAGAAAAGCTATAACAACACACGTGAAAAAATGACATTTTTTCTCATGTTTGATACCATCAATGAGCTGCTGACACGTCACTCGCCTTCCGCGCTACTTAGTCAGGTCGACGAATGAACCATTCTCAATCTATGGTTGTTTGTTGGAATTTTCTCGGATTCCGGCTGCTAAAACACTGAAAAATCTGTATCGCTTACAGACAGGGGAAGAAAACCAAAATACGAAAAATAAAAACCGAAAGTTACGTAATTGGTGGCTGAGAACGAAATTGACAACTGGAAGATTTGCCACTGGCCGATTTTCGCCGTGTACCTGAAAGATTTCTCCTGTCGGTAAGGACATAGTTGTTTTTGTAATGATTGAACGCATTTTTACTTCGAGTCTTAGTACCAACGCACTTTACGACTTTTCTTGCCACCAAAGGGCTAGTGTACATAATAAACAAAAGAACACGTGGTTGCTTGTAGATATGGAATTTCTCTTTCTTTTTTTTTTTTTCGTTTCGCGAATGAATTGCGACTCTTTTACGGGTATCAAATGGTCCTGCATAGCGGCTAGATTCAAGAATATTCATTGACTAAATTTGCATTGCAGTCGTGTTTCTTCTTCTTTAAAGTCTTGTCGCGCTTACCTTCGTAAGCGGCGCCACAAATTCAGTCAACCTTGAAAAGTGGCGGGGTATGCAATAGCTTTTCCGGATATTCTGTTTGCAACAAATTTTGCTCGGTAGTGTGAGAACGATATGACAAGTCTTGGGAACAGAATTAATTGTAATTGGTTGGTTCAGGGTTAGATGTCCATCTGGTTGGTTCCAAATCGCACCCAATTCGCGCTTTTAAGCATCCGAGAAAGATCTAAGAAATTTATTACAGCCTAATTTGAATTTCTTGTCTTTCTTTTTTTTTCCTTCTCGTGGATTTGTGTTAGTATATGTTATCACTTTGGGTTACTTTTCCAAGATCACTCATTCTCTACATATTTCCCATGTTAGATGAATTTCGACATATGGTACCATCAGACACTTAATTTAAACTCAGTTTATTCTTTGTTAGTGTTTAGTGAAAGTGATGGTGCACTTCTATGTCTCCTACTGCGCTGTCTCCTCTGTTTGATCTGGGTTTACGAAGACGACGTCCTCCTTGGCGGCACTGTGATCTGATGTGCCTAACGATGCCACAGTTATGATATCTCCCTGCAAGGAAATAAGGATTCTTATTATATAAACAGTCGTGAAATCCCGCAAAAACAGGATATTTTCACATATGAAAATAACACTGTCCCTACTCTTGAAAAATAGATGCGCCTTTCGCAACGAAAGAAGAATGGATTGCCCTTTCCTTTGCGCTTATAGACGAGTCATTAGAATCTCCGCGCAGCCAAGTAATATCCTCTATTCATTACAGGAATAGCAGTAAAATCTTAGACGAGCTCGGGCACGAAAATGCGACATGTTTACAAGTGAATACGACACAGATCCTATTGTTACCCTAGGAGTAGCGCGCGAATGAAATGGTTCGGCGAGTCCTCTATATGATAAAATAATATTAGATAGTCATTTGGAGATACGAAATTAAGGGAAAAATATTTCTCTTTCGCTGCGCGCACTCCCGAGACATTTTTAACCCTAGAAAGGGATATTTCGTTTCCCAGCACGCCATTTTATATGGTGTATCTAGCTATCTTAAAACATGAATTGCGAATTGAATAACTTGGCGAATGAGACTAAAGAGACGATCTATTTCAGTTACTTGGATGAAAAAACGCTTGGTAGCAATTTCAGAATATCTCCATCCCCCTCAAATTTGCGTGCGCAATTTCAGAGTTACGTCCGCGGTCCTAATGTGATTTTCCATAAAGTTTAAATGAGGTTTAAAAGGACTATTAGGCGCTGAAGAACTAATGCTTTCGCAGTCCTACGCTCCCGAAGTAAGAATTAGTCATAGAAAACGAGGTGTACAAATGCTACTTGCACAGTCCCGTAATCTCGAACTCAATTGCCGTCACGATTCGGTGCTTTCATCATAGAAATCAGATGACTGCGGAACTGCAGGAACAGCTTTTAAAAATTGCAAATTCGGTGGTTCTGACTTCTGAAATCTAGCCAACAGTTGGAACTTTAGATAACTTACAGGGTTGGCAATGTTTTTGTGGCAGGAGGGACGGGGCGGTAGAAAACATCCTCTTTGCCTACTATTCCTCATCTCGGCCATGCCCCTCTCCCTCTCTCTAGGCGCCACCTTTCCCTTTCCTCTTCTCGTTCACTTTCCTCCTTGCGCTCTACTTCTGTCCGTAATAATTCCATTGCGTCTTTAATTTCAGACGTCTGAAAGGCAGAAGCCAATAAAATTTCTACGTCACATTTTTCACCAACTACAAAATTTTACACTGTCTACACTTTTTGTCTAACGAAGAATAGCAATTTATGAATAATACATGATTCTACGAGATGTAAATAACTAAGTTGCTTAAAACTAAAGCAAAAAATTGCCTTAAAACCGTTATTTACTTCCGGTTTTGAGATAAAAGAAAGGACTTTTCCGGCTACCCAGCAACCTTAGTGTTATCTACGGAAATTTGGTGG